TAAGTTTTGAATACGGATATTTTTCTTACAAAAACGCATCGATTCGCTACAGAAGGCCTTTGTTCACTCCCCGGAGCCGTGTGAGGTTTTTTTGGATGGGCGCTTTTTATTTAACTTATTTTGGACTGATGCACTGCAACACCTGCTGAGTGCCATTAAACAGCTTGAAAGATCAAAGACAATTTTTAATACAACTCCGACTGGATTCGTCTGAAAGAAGAAAGTCATATACACCTAGGATGCTTCGAGGGTGAGTAATTTATGGGCTAATTTTCATTTTTGGGTGACTAACCATTTAAGCGTCATTGGTTACTCTGTGTTTGGGAACTGATCCAAAGTGACTATCTGAAAGCTACAGCAGAGCATGAGATTTTCTGGACTAAAGGACATCATTGTGGCAGAACCTTTTATTTTTTATTTTTAAAGGATTGGAGAAAAACAACCACAAGTAAGTGTGTTTTTGTATACCGTTCTCATTGGGTCTTCTGTTACTGCTTTGCTTGTCTTCCCAAGAGACACACCAGAGTTCTCTTTGTGGGCAGTTTTACGTCTCTTGGGGTTCTTAGCAACACCGAAGGATTTTTTGCGTTTGGGAGGCTCAAGGTCATAGCTCAGGTAGGCCTCAAAGGACATGGAAGGCGTTTGACAGCCATACTCAGTCTCCATTGCTACTGCTTTGTCTGTGGCCTTCTCTATCTTTTCTTTTTTGCATGCATCTCCACTCTTCTCTCTCTGCTTTTGCCTTGCTTCAGGTCTTTTCAAAGATTTTTCACGTTTCGTATTCTCCTGTTTTTTTGTTACACCAGAAACCTTGTCAGTCTTTTTGCTTTCATGTTTTGTGTGCTCACCCTTGCCATGTCCTGAGCCCTGATTTACACTTGAATCTTTTTTTGGCTCACCCTTTTTTTCACCATTAAAGTAGATTTTGGATTTACTGGGCTTGATTTTGCATTTAGTGTCAACATTCTGTGACATTTTCTTTTCAGTACTGGAATTCTCCATTTTTGGCTTCTTCCTAGAATTGGTAGTCTCTGCAAGCTGGCTGTTTTCATGTTTACTCCTTTCTTGAACGTCTTTATTAAGCTGTTCATTTTGGCTTAGGAAGTCATCAGGCTTTCCCCCACTCGAACTGCAAGAAAGAACAAAAAGAGTGCAGACCAGGAATACAGTATGTCACATGAAAAAGATAAAATCTCAAATGCAAATAAAAACATTTTTTCCCCAATTACAGATTTGTACCAGGACCAGATGATACCTTATAGAGTCTTTTGGAACAAGAGTTTTCCATCGATTAACCAATATTTTTGCCACCTTTCCAGCCTCATCGTGCTTCCGAAAGGAGTTGACAATTTTTCCAATTCCCGTTTCCTACAAACGAAATATGAATATTGGAAGCTCGAGAGAAAATATGTCAATATTTTTCAAAAATAAATGAAGCTCTTACAGCGAGAATTTCAAGTGTAATGTCCAATAATTCAAGTTTCTTCAAGATTTTCAGCAGCTGAAACAGAACAGGTTCAATTAAATAATCGAAGCCAAAGCAATAATTTACTTATTACCAGGTTTTGGGAAAAAACTGTTTCAATTAATGAGAATTTAAACTCCAACAAGCTACTGAACTAGCACTAAAAGGAGAACTTTATTGAATTCAATAGTCAGAACAATCATCCAAACATTAATTAATGCTAGTGTGTTTGCAGGTGTTTCAACAAACTAAGCACATTACTTGTTAGAAGTTTTGTTTAAGAAACCTGCTTCACATTGATTGTAAACTCGGAAAATTAGAGCACTCTGGGAAATTAAGTGTTATTCCACCACGCTCCAGAAAATAAGTTAAAGGCATGTATATGAATCAAATACAAATGTCTGTATATTGCATTTCAAACCAATTAATACAATCTAATGTTACTGAAAATGCCCCTATGTTGTGGATATCACATACAGAACAGAATTATAAACCTGCCCATTTCCACGTGGCTGTTTAAAAATGTGAATTTGCTGAGCGAGCGCTCTGGTCGTGCTCTATGTATAGGGAAACCTCAGCTAAGGTACTATAAATGGGCAACGAAATAACAGCCACCCACCGGTTGTAAAATACAAGGCACTGCGCATGTGCAGTAGAGGGGCTTCTGCAATGTGCAGTCCCATCAAACAAAATACTACTTTGACAGGGCACTGCAAAAGTCTCCAACATGTTGAATGTTACATTTAAACAAAACAAGTACTGCCACATTGCCTCTTCATGGCCTAAATTGACAGACAGCCAACATAAGAGACAACTGCAATGTTATTTTTAGAAAGACACCCTCTCAAGTGCCTACTCCCCCATCAACTCCACCTTCATGTCAACAGCTGCTGACATACTACATTTTCTTTTCACAGTTCATGTCATTTTTTTCCTGTGCAAAGAGTATGTATGTGTGCACTTATAAATAAATAACATGTCATACCATTAATTTAACATAGCATACCTTACATTTAAATAAAACTTTAGGTTTAAGTAGGGCAGACTTATAGGTGATCTTATAGGTTATTTAATGGCTTTTCAGTGAAATGTAAACCGTCAAACAATTACGGCCAAACAAATCAAGAAACAGCAAACATGAAAAAGGTGAAAAAATAAAAATATAAAAAATAAACATAAAAAATGCTGGGTTAAAAAGTGACAAACCCAGCTATTGGGTTGTTTTGACCCAGCAGTTGGGTTCAAAACAACCCACACGCTGGGTCAAAACAACCCACACGCTGGGTCAAAACAACCCACACGCTGGGTCAAAACAACCCAACCTCTGGGTCAAAACAACCCAACCGCTGGGTCAAAACAAACCAACCTCGAAACAACCCACCCGCTGGGTCAAAACAACCCAACCTCAAAACAACCCACCCGCTGGGTCAAAACAACCCAACCTCAAAACAGCCCAACCTCAAAACAACCCAACCGCTGGGTCAAAACAACCCAATAGCTGGGTTTGTCCCCATTTAACCCAGCATTTTTTTTAGAGTGTATAAAATAAATCTAATTACACAGTTCAACCTTTCAGTTTATTATTTAGTTGACTATTGTTTTAATGTATCCCAATTGTGTTCGCCTCCTACCCAAATTATTTAAAACATGCTAATATTAGAGGTTTTGTCTTGATGACCGAATTCACAAAAAGTCTTATTTTAAGAAGGTGCATGCTAGAAATTAGACTTAAAAAGTTGAATGTTATTGCGTTAATCCTGGTGTTGTCTTGCCCTTTCGGCTTTATCTTTTCGTCTGTAAAACGATACAAAACCTTCTTGTTGACAGATGCAGAGCGACAGACGGCATCCTACCGTGTGTCCTTCACAGGATTCTTTCAGCTGATGTTTTAAGTGCAAAACCTTTTTCACATCAGCTGCGGCCATGTCAGCTCCTCACATGCGCCTATTAAAGTCTCGCCATATTTTTTCGTCACCTTTATATGGGCGGAGACGATATAAGGTATTTTACCTGGTTGGAAAGGCTAGAGTCCCCTCAGAATCATTGCACACGAGCTATTGGACAAATAAAGACGCACCGCGGGGCGTATGTCTCCCAAACACTCCACAAACGCACGGAATCACACTTTTGAACTGATTACTGAATATAAGCAGTTAGTTACAACTTTAATAAAACCTGCAGCACACTAAAAAAGACAAAACGCATATCCTTCTGAATTTAATTGTTTGTCTGGTGTGTGTGTGTCTGTGTGTGTGTGATTACATAAACGCCGGATGCTCGTCAGTAGAGTCAGCTGTCTTGACTATCCCGTTGATAATTTTATGAGTTTTTAATAATAAATAAATAAACAAGCTTAAAAGCTAACATGAAAACTTCGCAGTGCTTGCAGTTCTTCAAAATAAATCTGCACTAGGCTACTTCACATATGCAGCTACTTTAATAACTGGTCCTTCCAATTAATAAAACTATTAATTTATAAATGTACACTCTAAAAAAATGCTGGGTTAAATACAACCCAGTGCTGGGTAAAATAGGGAAACTTAAGTGTGTGTGTGTGTGTGTGTGTGTGTGTGTGTGTGAACTTGGTACAAATGCAACACTCATAGACCCAGTAGTATTATTTTAATTTAACAAAATAACATTTCCTTACAAATACAGTTATCAGTTATAGTACTGAAAGGACAGATGGGTTTAAATGACTTCGAGTCTATAAAAGGAACCTTAGGGCAATGGTACGCTGCCTTTCTATTCTTGGCCATAGATGTGATAACTTGTGACAGATGCAAAGAGAGGAATGCCGAGGTGATATGCTGCGATAACAACTCTTAAGAGTTAATTTTGGTATTTTAAAGAGCATTAGTATAAAGCTTTACACTTCTGAGATGACTTTTTGTTTTTGAGTTGTTGTTGTTTTTTTTGCTTCTTGTTAGAGTGACCCTAATAGTTAAGCAACACTGCACGTGGTTTTGAAATATGAGAAAAGTCTGTCACTACAGACTTCAGAGGACTGGTTCAGTCTGAGAATGTGATGTTTTTTTTTGTTTTTTTTGCTGAAAACACATGAAGTATTATGCAAAATGGCTGAATTAATGATACATAGAGCATTGTAAAATGAAAGATCTCTTGCACAATATTAAAATGTTGCATACATTGTTTGAGAGCAGGACTGCAACCAACTATACATTTTCATATAATCAATGAATATGGCTTTTTCAAAAATTGATTCATGAGCTATGACTTTTGGTAGGCTACACCCAGTCTTGAATATTTGTTAACTTCCTTTGTATACAAGATTATGGTTGCTAATAGATAGTCAAATGCTGAAGTATAAGTTTAGCATATATCAATTGATGTATATTTGGTCCAAATTTAAGAAGTTGGTTAACTTATGCTGTAAACATAGAAAGTGATCACCTCCTGCATGCTAACAAGTCAAGAGTAATAGATGTGTTCAGATTTGTCTGTGCACATGTGTTAAAATGTGTTCTTCGATTCATAATGTGTTCGTATTTTGTCAAAATTCTTTTTAGGTCTTGGCTGTGACCCATCACTGCAGTCATGGCACCCAAAAAGAACAAGGCCGCTAAGAAGAACAAAGCTGACATCAATGAGATGACAATTCTGGTAGAGGACATTCCCACCAACAAAATCAATGGGCTCAACACACTCCTGGAAGGTGGAAACGGCTTTAGTTGTATCTCAACGGAGGTCACTGACTCCGTCTATGCACCCAACCTCTTGGAGGGTCTTGGCCACATGAGGCAAGACAGCTTCCTCTGTGATCTGACTGTAGCAACCAAGTCCAAATCCTTTGACGTTCACAAAGTCGTGATGGCTTCCTGCAGTGAGTACATCCAAAACATGCTCAGGAAGGATCCAGCCCTCAAGAAGATTGAGCTCAGTGATTTGTCCCCAGTTGGTCTGGCTGCAGTCATCACATACGCCTATTCTGGAAAACTGACCTTGTCTTTGTACACCATTGGTAGCACGATATCAGCAGCCATGCTGTTGCAGATCCATTCTCTGGTGAAGATGTGCAGCGAGTTCTTGATGCGGGAGATCAGCGTGGAGAACTGCATGTATGTTGTCAACATCGCCGACACGTACAATCTGAAAGAGACGAAAGAGGCTGCGCAGAAGTTCATGCGGGAGAACTTCATCGAGTTCTCCGAAATGGAACAGTTCCTAAAGCTCACCTACGAGCAGATCAGCGAATTTCTCACGGACGACTCGCTCCAGTTGCCCTCTGAGCTCACAGCTTTCCAGATCGCAATGAAGTGGTTAGACTTTGATGAGAAGAGGTTGAAGTATGCTCCTGATCTGCTGTCCAGCATCCGCTTTGGAACCATCTTACCCCAGGATCTTGTAAGTCACGTGCAGATCGTTCCCAGGATGATGCAAGATTCTGAGTGCCACCGTCTGTTGGTTGATGCCATGAATTACCACCTGCTGCCATTCCAGCAGAACATCCTGCAATCCAGAAGAACCAAGGTCCGTGGAGGCCAACGAGTGCTGCTCACGGTGGGAGGCCGGCCTGCCCTAACCGAAAAATCTCTCAGCAAGGACATTCTCTACAGAGATGATGACAGTGTCTGGAACAAGCTGACTGAGTTGCCCGCGAAGAGCTTCAATCAGTGTGTTGCTGTTTTGGACGGCTTCCTTTACGTGGCTGGTGGTGAAGACCAGAATGATGCTAGGAACCAAGCAAAACATGCCGTCAGCAATTTCATCAGGTAAGAGCCGATGTCCTTTCTTTACGATCACTTAAAGGGAGAGTTCACCCATGAATTAAAATTCTGTCATTAATTACTTATCCTAATGTGGTTCCAAACCTGTAAGACCTTTGTTAATTTCCGTAACATTAAAATTAAAGGGGTCATATGACGATGCTTTTGTGTATTTGGTGTAATGCAATGTGTTTACGTGGTTTAAGGTTAAAAAACACATTACTTTCCACATACCGTACATTATTGTTGCTCCTCTATGCCCCGCCTTTCTGAAACTCGTTGATTTTTACAAAGCTCATCATTCTGAAAAGCGAGGTGTGCTCTGATTGGCCAGCTATCCAGTGAGCTGTGATTGGCCGAATACCTCAAGCATGTGACGCCCCTCACCATATTTGGAAACATACAGTATCTCCATGACATGGCGGCGGCGGCAAAAATACTACAGCAAGAATAAAAGTTACGTCTTCTTTCTTTGCGTAAACATTTGGGCAGTGTTATGCAAATCGTCCAACACAGTGACGTAGACATGTGGGGGCGTGTTTGAATGAGGGGTTTTAGGAGGGCTTGGACGAGGCTTAACTTTTACAAAGAATATCTCTTTGGGTTTGAGACTTTAGTCTTTGCAACTTTACGGATCTTATATATGCATGAACAGCTTGTAACACTCCAAAGACAAAGGAACATTTGAAATAGCATCATATGACCCCTTTAAGATATTTTTGATGAAATCTGAGAGCTCTCTCAAAGCAATTGAAATGTTCCCAGACCCAGAAGCGTAGTAAGGACATCAGTGGTTCAACTGCAATTTTACAAAGTTACGAGAATACTTTTTGTGTGCAAAGAAAACAAAAATAACGACTTTATTCATCAATTCTTCTCCTCCAAATCATGCCTTCCGCCATTATTGTGAGTTCCATGACGCATGCCGTGCTTTCCTCTTTTTTTTTACGTGCAGAGGTACTCTCGATAATGGCAGAAGGCGTGATTTGGAGGAGAAGAATTGTTGAATAAAGTCGTTATTTTTGTTTTCTTTGCACACAAAAAGTATTCTCATACCTTTGTAAAACTGCGGTTGAACCACTGATGTCACATGGACTATTTTAATGATGTCCTACTACCTTCTGGACCTGGGAACATTGCAGTTGTGTTGCTCTCTATGGAGGGTCAGAGAGCTCTCGGATTTCATCAAAAATATCTTAATTTGTGTTCTGAAGATGAACAAAAGGACCTGGGTTTGGAACGACATGAGGGTGAGTAATTAATGACAGAATTTACATTTTTTGGGTGAACTATCCCTTTAAGTGTCTAAAGTCTACTGGCATGTATTTTTTCGAAGTGATGCATCACTCACGAGTGTTTCCCTCATTAGATATGACCCCCGATTCAACACGTGGATCCACCTGGCAAACATGATTCAAAAGCGCACTCATTTCAGCCTCAACACCTTCAACGGTCTCCTGTTTGCTGTAGGGGGGCGTAATTCTGACGGCTGCCAGGCATCTGTCGAGTGCTACGTTCCATCCTCTAACCAATGGCAAATGAAAGCGGCAATGGAAGTCCCTAGATGTTGCCATGCTAGCACAGTTATTGATGGCAAGATCTTGGTGAGCGGTGGTTACATTAACAATGCCTACTCTCGCTCTGTATGTTCTTACGACCCATCCACCGATAGCTGGCAGGATAAGAACAGCCTGAGCACGCCGAGAGGATGGCACTGTTCAGTGAGCGTTGGAGACCGTGCCTATGTTCTCGGTGGCAGCCAATTGGGCGGCCGTGGCGAGAGGGTCGACGTCTTGCCAGTTGAATGTTACAACCCTCACTCCGGCCAGTGGAGCTACGTCGCCCCCTTGCTCACAGGAGTGAGCACAGCTGGTGCTGCCAATGTGAATAATAAGATTCACCTCCTGGGTGGCTGGAATGAGATTGAGAAGAAGTACAAAAAATGTATTCAGGTGTATAACCCCGTTATTAACGAATGGACTGAGGATGACGAATTGCCAGAGGCAACAGTTGGTATCTCATGTTGTGTTGTCACCATCCCCACACGCAAAACACGAGAGTCGAGGGCCAGCTCTATATCGTCAGTGCCAGTTAGTATATAAGCAGCGAGGAAATGTATTTGAGTTGCTAAATGTAATAAAATTTTACAAAGTTTTATCTTACTGTTTGTTCAATAAAGCAATAAGCCCCAAGAAGCCGAGGTTTATAGTGAATTTATAACAGCTAAGGGGCGTTGTTAGGGACGATGCGAAGCGAACCCCCTTAGCTGTTATAAATTCTCTGTAAACCACGGCTTCACGGGGCTTATTGCTTTTATAAAACGGTTATTCCATATACGTAGTAAGGTTTCACAGAATAAAACAGAGCAAATAATGTGTAATGATATTCCACCAAACAATATAGTCCAAGCAACACACAGAAGTAAACAAAGGTGTGTGTTTGTAGAGTAATTTACAACAGCGTCGAACGTGGCTCAGCCAATCAGAATCAAGCACCGGAACTATCCGTTTTATAATATAATTTTTACTCACAGATGCCAAGATTAATTGTCAGTGCGTGGCAATCTCGGAAATGTTGGATGTCAAGTCACAACATAATAATGCATACAAATGAACAATTATTTATATAAGCCACTATGTTTAAAACTGAAGCGATTTGAAAACAACTAAAGATGGATGCATTTCGAAGATGGTTCGTAGGTTTTGTGGGTACAGGAAAATTCAGAGAGATTTGTCTTGGAGGTAGATTTATTGTTTATAAGGTTTATGGGAAATAGGAAATGCATAAAAAACAACACATATTTGTAAAATCAAGAGTTATAATTTCCATTGGGAAATTATTTTCCTAGTGGGGCCAATTCTCCGGTTATGATTTGATTAGTCCCTTAATGTGCAAAATGAGGTAATTGCAACACTGCAAACTGTCCAGATATATTAGACATTGTCCTTTGATCAACAATGGAGCATTGGTTGTATAGATTGCTTGAGAAAGCCAGGTCTTAACATTTCACCTACAACCTATGAGGAGTAGGAGTTTATTTGATGATGTAATACACCGACAAAGTGCTGCTGACTCTTGGAAAATCAAGCAAGTTCATTATAAGCAGGGTTCCTGGCAAGAGGGAACCATTAGGCCACAGAGAGAAGGACACATATCCTCAGCCCTGTAGCATTTTAGTCATGATGACCCCGTTTGAAAAATACAAAAACAGACACTATGATGGTTTGGGAGATGATGTGAAGAACACTGAATAGGACATAAAAGGATATACAGTGGTGGCATATTTTGTATACTGAGAGAATAAATAATTGTGAAAAAAAAAAAAGTTTTGGCCTGAACCGTCAAGAGGACAAGTATAAAATCCGCTTTGTTTCCTGATGGTTCATGATTTGTAATATTCTGGTTAGAAAACATTGTATGATAGAAAAAAAAGTGACAACTGGACACATTTATTACTTTAATAAGGTATTGCTTATTCAAGGTAAATCAATGGATAGTATTCACAATATACATACTGTAATACATGTTGTCAAATGATAAAGCTCTGCATATTTATTAAAGCTTCTTAAGAAATGTTGCTGTTGACATTTTTCTTGGAACCTATTTTGAACAATGACAATGAGAGAGAGAGAGAGAGAGAGATTTCCTTCATTCATACCTGTTTGTCCAACCAATGTAAGACATTGTTTTTGCATTTCAGTTTAGTGCAGCTAGTGGCACAGAAATAGCTTCAGGCATAGTTCACCTAATAATGAAAATTCTGTCATCATTTACTCGCCCTCCACTTGTTCCAAACCAGTATACAGTAAATGTTTTTCTTCTTCTGAACAAAAAAGAAGGTATTTTGAAGAATATAGGTAACCAACCAGTTGATGGTCTCCAATGATTTCCATAGGTTTTTTTTCTTCTTCTTCTCCATACTATGGAAGTCAATGGGGTACATCGTCCATCACCTGTTTGGTTCCCCATAATCTTCAGAATATCTTCTGTTGTGTTCAGCAGAAGAAAGAAGTCCATACAGGTTTGGAATAACTCAAGGGTGAGTAAATGTTGATAATTTTCATTTTTTGGTGAACTATCCCTTTACCATTAGACTTTCAAGTTCACTAAGTAAACATAATGGGCGTTAGAGTGGCAGCTAACAGACAGTATGACAATGCAAAATGCATAATAATTATGACGATGACAAGTGAATATAAAAGAAGTGACTCCTGACCTAATAGCAATAGCCCCATTCGCTTTGTCCCATTCACATTATTGACATCTTCAATATAAAGTTTATGGGTCACTCAAAAACATCTGCAACATTTTAAATGGAAGGTTATTCCATTTTCGTAAAAGAAAATTTTATATATATATATATTTAAAATGGTATGAAAATGAAAAAAGATGTATATATGAAAAGATGAAAATAACCATTAGGGAACATTCTGTTAGCTGCTTTTGGTATTGCTTCGAACCCTAACATATCCAAAATACACGTAATTAAATAGTATTTTCACACGAAAAAGTGTACAGTACCTTTCCGTAAAAAAAAAAAATGTAATGGTATATATATATATATATATATATATAAGTAAAAAAAAGTTATTTAATAGTATGGTATATGGGTCATTCTATGTAAACGTCCACTTTTCTGTCCCTAGCCTTTACAGAACGAAAAGGTACTTTAAAATGGTGTATATATATATATATATATAAAAGATGAAAATAGCCATTAGGGAACCTTCTGTTTGCTGTTTTTGGAATTGCTTCGAACCCTAACATATCCAAAATACACGTAATTAAATAGTATTTTCACACGAAAAAGTGTACAGTACCTTTCCGTAAAAAAAAAAATGTAATGGTATATATATATATATATATAAGTAAAAAAAAGTTATTTAATAGTATGGTATATGGGTCATTCTATGTAAACGTCCACTTTTCTGTCCCTAGCCTTTACAGAAATATTACACTTGAAAAACACTTTAGGGTTACAATTCTTTTATATTTTAAAATAAAACAATGTGCTATTTGAACAATTACACCTTCTTGAGCCATCAATGTGGCAATATTTATTTTTAATTAATTATAAAGAATTCCCAGCACCACAAAACTGCTCGTCCCCACAGCCAGAGGTAAAGTTAGTTTTTTTTAGGTCAAAAACAGGATTTTCTACCATTTAAAATACAATGATGTATTCATAACTATCAAATATATGATGTAAATGAAATCAAAAAACAAAATGCCAAATAAATATTATAAAATAGATAATGAAAGTAGTGGTCCCCTGGAGTTGTGTCACTGGTGTTACCGTTTAACAAAAATCTTTTATTTTGAAATAAAAATCAGACTGATGACTTCTTTCCTCCCATTTCCTGAAGATCTATGAAGGCAGGCCCATGTGAAGTCCACTGTCTCTTTTCAGTTCTCAGAAATGCTCTCATTTATCTCATGATTTCATATGAAGCTTTTAGTGGAAGTCACTGGATTATGACCAACTTTATTGTTAGGGAATTGTAAAAAACTAGAATATAAATAGATTAAACTACTCAATTTAGTGAGTATACCATGATTGACAACATGTGGTTTGATACCTTGCAGCAGACTTTTTGTAAAATGCATTTTTCATGAAAATTGTCACTGGTGTTACCTTCCTAATGGGTAACACCAGTAAAGATCAGATTACGTTGATGCTCTTTTACTAACTGCTTTCACTGATTGCCAAATGTAACAATTTAGTCTGATCTACTTAATTGTAGTTAAAGAATAAGGATCTTTGGGCTTATGTATGTCACTGGTGTTTCATATTGTGTCACTGGTGTTACTATTTTAAATAAAATGCATCACATGTGACATGATAATAATTTTACATCCATTGAATTCTGCTTCACTCAAGAGTTAAGATTTAAAGGATTGCATCATTACTTGTTTTTACAAATATTTTCATTGTTATAGCAAATACATGGTTGCGTAAATGAACTAACATCATTCAAGCACACTTTAAACAAACCGGATTAAAATAAATAAAACATAATCTCCTTATTTGTTGCATTATCATCATTTTTCTGTAACTCTGACTACACGTACTAAAAAAATTGAGAAATAATATTTCATAAAAACCTTTAAAATTGCCAGAGTAGTAAGGTAACACCAGTGACTAAAAAAATGGTACATGTGGTTTTTAAATAAATGCACACAAAATATAAAAAGAATCATTAAGCTGTCATTTATGTGTATTCATAAAGTCAAAAGATAATATAATAATGTGGTCTAAGTTTAAATGTAAAAAAAAGAAATACATTTTAAGACATCTTGCCATACCAAAAGTGGACGTTTCTGTAGAATGACCCAGATATATATATATACACCATTAAATATTTTTTTTTACGAAAATGGTGTATATAAACGATGAAAATAACCATTAGGGAACGTTCTGTTTGCTGCTTTTGGTGTAACATAAATGTCTTGCTAAATAGCATATCCAAAATACACGTAATTAAAGAGTATTTTCACACGAATACAGTGTTTTGTCAAACTTCGCAAAAAAAAAAAAAAAAAAAAAAAAAAAAAAAAAAGCATCAACAACGACAACATATGATTGTGACCTTCACATAAGAAGAAAAAACAAAACAAACACCCATTCCGCCTGTATTCACCCCGATCGGCTTCCACAGCAGCTGTTACCGTCGCCAGCGCACGCACAACAGCACAGGCCTGCGGAGTCATCACATGACCTCGCCGCCTCCACACAGTCACGTGCTCCCAGTCCGCGTAAAGTGTGTGTGCGCGAGGAAGGGGTTGACACAGCTCGCGCACTGCGATCAAATATCAGTCGGGGTGGCGAGAGACCGTAGCCCGTGCTTGACTCGGAACCGCTAGGACGAGAAAAGCGAACACATCCGCGTTTGAAACGAGTCATATAAGGCCTCGCGTGCGTGCGATTGTCGTTGAGGATATCGCGAGTGAAGGGAGATCGCGGCGCGCGGCGGAGGAGACGCAGAAGTCCGAGTCCGAGTCCGAGTCCATATCGATACGCTATTTAATTAAAGGTTTGTGCGATGGGCTTACTGTCGCAAGGGTCGCCGCTCAACTGGGAAGAGACCAAGAAACATGCGGACCACGTTAGAAAGCACGGCATCCTGCAGTTCCTCAACATCTACAACAAGGTCAAAGAGCGCCAGAGGGATGTGCTGAAATGGGGAGACGAGGTGAGGCTCTCTCTCTCTCTCTCTCTCTCTCTCGCGCTCGCGCTCTCGCTCTCGCGCTCTCTCTCTCTCTCTCTCTCTCTCATCTTCAGAAATGCACGGCATAACTGCGTGCGATGGAGAAACACGTGGTTGCATGCAATGATGCAATGGACCACATTGGGATGCTGCTCGTGAGCAGGTGCGCCGTTCAGCTCGCTTTGTGTTATGCATGCTTTCTGCTTTGTGCATTGGCACTTGTGGATGCATGATTCATAAAACCCTTGCGATCTGAAGGCTAATGCTTATCCAGTTTTGTAGGCAAATACAATTCATGCGCGTGCGTGATTTTATTGACCAAATTAAAACTTCAGCTTGTTAACTTTCGGATAGTGAAGGGAAAGCAGTCTAGACACTGCACAGCTGAAGCTCAAATTTAAGATATTTAGATTCCCCCCCCCCCCCCCCCCCCCACGGTGTTGTGTGGTGGT